TAATCCTAAAAATGCTAACACCTGACAACGGTAACATGGTAACTGCCTCCCCCTGGATAACACAGGTGATGTATCCAAGCAACTGACCTACACCAGTCTGGTGGGGGGAGGGGAGGAGGTGTTTTATTAATTTACAATAGAGCCAGCAGCCAGGGAGGAGAGTCAGATCAATGTGGGCTAGACTAAGCCTACCCCAAAACCAGAGCATCGACCTGCATGACCTGCCTCAACTAGGGGTGGGAGTCAACCCCCGACCCCCTGTCTGGCCGTCTACATCATAAACTGATCAGACAGACGATAATATCATCTCGCAATTGCGAAATTGCTCTAGTACCTTGTCAGGTGGAAGAAATCGAATTAAAAATTGTATAAAAAAGTTGTTATGTTATTTTGCAAAACATTGAGGTAAAACATTTTAAAAGTTGGAATTTTTTATGTTTTATTAATTTATTAAGAGAACGGTTCTAACCCTGATTTTGTTAGCTAATGTAAAATTTTTTGTAGATAAGCTCATTGAAAGTCTTAACCCTTCCCGTAGTATGTATACAGACAGAAAAATTATTTTATTTAAATAAAATCTAAAAATATATTTTTATATCTATAATTTATAGAATGTTGTAAATAATTCACCTATGCAGCACTTTTGTCCAAAATAATTTTTTAGCTTTTTATATACAGGGTGTTTTTTTTAAACTTGCATCTTTATTTATGTAAAAACCGCACTAGATAGAAATATGCAGTTTGCGGGAATCATCTATTGACGTAGGGGGCCCAATTTTTTTGAATTCAACAATACATTCACATTCCCCCCCTTTCCCCCCTACCCCCAACTTAATTTTTTTAAATAGCAAGGTACCCCTTGTGACATATCAAATGAAAGAGCATAAAAAAAGAAAATGTTTGATGAAAAAAAATTGAAAATCGGTTCATAAATTTGTAAGATATTCCCCCTCTCCCTCCCCGGAACTTATTTTTTTTTTAACAGCAACGTACCCCTTGTGACATATCAAATGAAAGAGCATGACAAAAGAAAATGTTTGGCGAAAAAGGATTGAAAATCGGCTCATGAATTTGTGAGATAATCCCCCCTTTCCCCCTCCTCGGAACTTTTTTTTTTTTATAGCAAGGTGCCCCTTGTGACATATCAAATGGAAAATAAATTTCACCAAACATTTTCTTTTTTCATGCTCTTTCATTTCATATGTCACAAGGGGTACCTTGCTATTACAAAAAAATTAAGTTCCGGGGAGATGGGGGGGGGGTATATCTCACAAATTTATGAACCGATTTTCAATTTTTTTTCATCAAACATTTTCTTTTTTTATGCTCTTTCATTTGATATGTCACAAGGCGTACCTTGCTATTTAAAAAAATTAAGTTGGTGGCAGGGGGGGAAAGGGGGGGAATGTGAATGTAACGTTGAATTTTAAAAAAATGGGCCCCCTACGTCAATAGATGATTCCCGCAAACTGCATATTTCTATCTATTGCGGTTTTTACATAAATAAAGATGCAAGTTTTAAAAAAAACACCTTGTATATATATATATATATATATATTTTTTTTATATAATGTTAACTAAAATATGTTTTTTATTAAATTTCTTATTTTCTATAAAAATATTCCTAGTACAACGGTTAAAGATATAAATGAATAAAAGGACTTATTTTACAAAGATTAAAGATGTTATAGACAATCAACTATCAATAACTATCGTAATAACTGTCCGCGGGGCCCAAAAAGATGCGGATATATACCGCCTATATAAATACCGCGGATATATATATACCGCTATGCACAAAATGCTATGTCCTGGAAGGGTTAAGTCGTCAGGATCCTGAATCTTCAAGTTACAATTTTGTTTGTATTCGGTTTCTTTTAAGGAACGGTCCAAACCCTGATCTTGTTTGTCGATTTTTTGTTAAAGAAATCATTAGTCTAATGAATATACAATGGCATCAAAAATGAGAAACTACCAGCTATTTGGGATTAAACAAGCAATCTTAAGATTTTTCAGACAGTACTACAACCAATTGGCTATCCAGAAAAAAAATTTACGATCTTGATATTAAAATTGTCAGTACGAACTGGGTTACATGGAAATAAGCTTGTCATTCCTTTAGTGAAAAATTATATAATTGTGTTGTCTCATAAATGTATTACAATTATCATTATTGATATGTGTGGCTAAATGATGTTATCACAAATTATTAATAATGTAAAAAAAATATTACCACAAAGAATTAGTTAGATGTCAATTCCATTTCCTTGCCAAATATTACTCTAATCAAATGACAATCTGATGAAACGTTGAGTAATTAATTTTTTCCAATTACAAGTCAAGGTAGATACTCTTTGTCTTTCAATAAAATTTATTTGGATAAGTAAAGCAGGTTTTGATCAAAAGAGTCTTCCCTAGCAAAACTTCACAAAACAATAAATTAAAATGCTTCTCTAACGTACAAACTTCAAGTATTACAACATATGTAGTCAAATAACAAGTTCAAGATAACAAAAGAATATTGCATTTTTATTGGTCTCAATGATATTCTTTCAGTCCGTTTATCATAGAACTCTTAACTCTCCAAAATAGTCTAATGCAGTGATGTAGATTATAATTTATTATAGGCTTTATGTTTTCAATGAGTACAACATTTTTTCTGCTAAGCGAAACACCCTTAACACTAACTAAAATTATCATTATTGATATGTGTGGCTAAATAATGTTATCACAAATTAATAATGTTAAAAAAATTATTACAACAAAGAATTAGTTAGATGTCAATTCCATTTCCTTGCCAAATATTACTCTAATCAAATGACAATCTGATGAAACGGTGAGTAATTAATTTTTTCCAATTACAAGTCAAGGTAGATACTCTTTGTCTTTCAATAAAATTTATTTGGATAAGTAAAGCAGGTTTTGATCAAAAGAGTCTTCCCTAGCAAAACTTCACAAAACAATAAATTAAAATACTTCTCTAACGTACAAACTTCAAGTATTACAACATATGTAGTCAAATAACAAGTTCAAGATAACAAAAGAATATTGCATTTTTATTGGTCTCAATGATATTCTTTCAGTCCGTTTATCATAGAACTCTTAACTCTCCAAAAAAGTCTAATGCAGTGATGTAGATTATAATTTATTATAGGCTTTATGTTTTCAATGAGTACAACATTTTTTCTGCTAAGCGAAACACCCTTAACACTAACTACTGATAAGGGCTGAACTACGATGACAAAGGTCA